AAAAAAGATTTTAAACATTGCTCGCTCTGCTCTCGTCGCATCTCTCTCGCTCTCTGCTAAAAAAAAAATTCATTTGCTCTAGTTGGCTCCATTCTCTCTTATGTTGAAAAGGTGAGAACAAAATATGATATGATCATTACACATAAACTTTGGATTCCATATTGCAAAAGAAAGTTGGTGATGGTAGAAGATCAGCAATTCAAACATGTTAGGGTTTGTTGTTATTTTAGAGATAAAGCATTTTAGTTCATATTTTATGATTGATAAACATGTTGGTTTTTTTATTCAATGTTTTTGTGGCATTGAGTTGTTTTTTTTTTTTTGTACATAACGAATGTACAGTCGTTATGTAGTTTCATAACGAATATACATTCGTTATCTGTAGAAAATCTCATAAAGAATGTGGATTTGTCATCTAATTATTTCATAGCAAATGTAGATCCGTTATTTGATGTTTATTTCATAAGGAATGTAATTTGTTATGGCATATCACATTATTTTTAATTATGACATATCCTAATATAGTTTCGTAATGTAGTTTCGTTATGACATAAGGAATGTAGTTTCGTTATATCGTATCCAAATGTAGTTTCGTTATGACATATCTCAATTATTTCACTTTGATATGCATTTTGGTTTTATTTTTTGGTTTTCAAGTTTTTGTGACATTCACGTTTTATCTTCCATTTTTTTAGAGCATGAGAACATTGTATATTATCTCCTATTTTAGTAACATGTGTTTCCACAATTATCTTGTCTAAGTAACATTTTTTTTTTCTTGTAGATATTGATTTTAGCAAAGATGGTGTGGATACAAGTATGTCACTATGTTGAGTTTAAAAATAATACGGATGACACTTGGACGTGGAGATATGTGAACGAAAAAGAAAAGAATATCAGACCTATTTACGTTCGCGACGACATATCTTTCTTGGAGCTTGAAGATGCGGTCATGAAGCTCATAAAGTTCGATAGCAGCTCACAAGTAATAGAATTGCGATCACTGAACCCAAGAATGACCAAATTTCCAGCCCCCCCTGTGAAGATTGTCGATGATGACACAGTCAAATGGTATATATATGTTTTTGACGAACATCCTCTTTGTGTAACACTTGTCGAAAAACTTGTTGAGGAAGAAACGAACAATGTTGAAGTTCAACAAAATCTTGAAGTTGAAGAAGAAACAAACAATGACAATTTAGAGGCGATCGAAACACTTACGTGGGAAAATGAAATTGGCGAGCCGCTCGAAGGTCAATGGGACATTATGGTGGAGAATAGAGATAGTCCTATGGAAACAAATGTTGAAGTTGAAGATGAAAGAGCAACCACTTTTTTTATAGAAGAGGCTCGTGAGAATTTTTCAACAAAATATGTCATGGTTGGGAATGCAAGTTGCTCTACGAGTCTTCTCCGTTGTCCATCTTCCGTGATGATCCCAGAGAATGAAGATGTGTAATGTAACAATATCTTCTCAACCAAAAAGGACTTGGTTGATAAATATTTGTTGTTGGCCGTGAAGTACCACTTTGAATTCCGAGTGGTAAAATCAACGAATACCTTGTATGTTGTTGCTTGTATTGAATGAAATTATCCTTGCCGTTTGAGAGCGGTGAAGATAGATAATGGTGAAATTTTTGTGGTACGAAAGTAAGTCGGTAATCACACTTGCTCTATGAGTGTGCGTCGTAAAGATCACAGGCATGCGATGTATAAGCTGATTGGGAAGCACATTTCCAAAAAAGTATAAAGACGTTAATCGGATTTATAAGCCGAGGGATATTATTTTTTATGTCCAAGAGAAGTTCGGGATAACAATCAGCTACACAAAAGCATTTATGGCAAAGCTGTTGGGATCAATGAAGATCTCGTTATGCACAAATCACGAATTGAATAGCAAAACATAAACCTATGCGTAGCGGATCTAAAGGTTTGCTAGAGAACTTACGGCTTAAACTTTATGGCGATCTGGCTGATCTTCTGGATGGCCGTACACAGCACACCAATGAAAAGTAGACTGCAAATTACGTCCTAGGGTTGCACGAACAAGATCAGATCAAAAACCGAATCAAACGGGTGCAAAAACAGAAGAAGACAAGTTGCAGTCCTAGGACACTCCGGCGGCTGAAGGCGCGTGCGTCGTACGGCGGCGATCTCGGCGGCGTTGGAAATATCTCGTCGAGACGGTCGTCTGGGTATGCTGCACGTCTTGATCGGACCTCCGATTAGTTCTGTACGACCAAATATATTTCGTCTCACTTTACCCAAAGGTCTTCTACTGTATATCTCAAACACCTCTTAATCTTGTACCAGTAGAACAACAAGAAGAAGATAAAGCTCGAATGGGAACTGAGAGAAATAAGAGAGCCGTGGGGCGTGATTTCCAAGATGTGGAATTCTCTTCTCTTCCCATGAGCTTAATGATGTATATATAGAGCTACAGTAGGGATCCTTAGGATTAGGGCTCCTTAATTAATTAAAATACTTGTGGACCAAGCCACTTATTTTAATTAATTAAATAATATTAAATGGGCCACCAACATAATATTATTGCACTCCCTTTTTCTAGCTCAATTTACAATTGAGACTCCAATAATAATTACTCGATTTATCTCCCCATGTTAAAGATATAATGTCCATTAATTAATTCGATTACTGACAATCAAGAATTAATTAATTTATTATTATTTCACCGAAGCCAGCGCTCGTTCATCACATTATTACTATGCCAGAATTTAATCCACCTGCAGAGTTTAGCATAATAATCCTTCATGAACTCATTCCGGGGACATCATCAAACTAACGCACATGGTGACCGCAAATATCCTAACAGCACATCCTACATATAGCAATATTACCCAAGACAGCGGGTCTATTGCCCCAGTTCACTAAGCCTCACCCATATGAATCAAAGTAATAAATACTACACATATATGTCTGTTTAATATCTTACGGGTTAAGAGTACGCAGTAATTAACCGAGGCCTAGTTCGTTTACGACGATCAGTATAAAACGAACTGCTCCTCTCTGGGATCCTGTTCAATACATAAATGTACTAGTACAACTAATCAGTCAAGACAAACTGTACAGTTGACACTACAACCGTTCGTGATGGGGTGTTCATGTCCATCTGGGTTGTGAACCACTAATTCTTGTTTCGCGAGTAACTGATAGCATGATCTTCGGTTCGCCCGATGACGACCCACACTATCTAATGTAAAACAACAGAACGTAGAACTTGTTTAATCTAACATATTTCTCATTTATAAAGGGTAAAAGTGTAATATCATTCAAAGCCAAACTTTCAGTATATAACACTAACAATCTCCCACTTATACTTAAAGCTTTCTCTTTTACAAGAATAGTCCTATCAATCTGTTATTCTAAAAGACCTATGTCGATCCTATCACCATGCACTTGACTCCCATTCCTGTCATGTGTTTGACGAAGACCTTCTCCGGCAAACTCTTCGTGAAAAGATCAGCTAGGTTGTCCTCAGATGCAATCTTGGCAACATCAACGTCTCCTCTACCAACTATCTCTCGGATCAGATGGTACTTGCGCTCTATGTGTTTACTTGCTCTGTTGGCTCGTGGTTTCCTTGAATTTGCTACTGCTCCACTGTTATCACAGTACACGGTGATACCACGTGGCAAACTCGAAATCACCTCTAAGTCCACCAAGAAGTTTCTGAGCCAAACTGCCTCTTTCGCTAATTATTTTTGCTATCCGCAAGTGTACGGAGTAGCTATAGGTAGTGGCGAGCAAGGTCGTATTCCACAAAGATTGTAGTTAAATTAATTAAGTACCAAAATAATAACGATTAAATATTATTTAGACCAATGAATGATATGATGATTTTAAACTATGAAATTAAACTAAGAACTAATTTACCTAAAATAATAAAAATAAATCAAGATATAAATAGATTCTAGGTTATGCTTTCCTCGGAATTAATTTATGAAATGTTTATATTCATACAAACCTTATTTAATTTTACCAATCGTAAAGATAATCACTTAATTGATTTCAACCTTTCTCTCGAACAAGCAAATCATAGATATTAATTGTTATCTATCTCCTCTCGGTCTCAAGATGAACAACTAACTCTCATAAGTTCCTAGGATTTTCGTTCTCTCTCAAGATCCTATCAACCTCTCGGTCTGTTTATTCTCTTACGTTATAAATTTCTCATTTCTGGCAATCAATTATCTCCTCTCGGTCTCAAATCAATTACAAATATGCATTCATAGCGACCCTCTACTCACACAATAATAATAAGCACAAGAAATTTATAAACGAAAATAAACCGGAATGAAATAAATAAAAACTAAATCATAAATCAATCCAAGTACTAACAAACCCTAGAATCCAAAATAAATTAGCCTAGAAACATGCTTTCAAAAGAAATATAAAACATTGAGTTCGAAAGAAGAAAAGAAAAAGAAAGAAAAAACTTATTCGGCTCCGTCGATCCCTTCTTCCCGGGCTTTCTCCCTCGTCTTGCTCATGTTTCTAGCCTCCAAAGCTCTCCAAAGATTTGAAAATATGGTCCAAGACTCCTCTAAAACGTGCCCAAGTGTTACTTATATAGTTGAGGTCGAGCCCTAGTCGAAATAGGT